CACAAGGTCGACGTGCCTGGCGCCCTCATCCCCTGGCTTGTCTCTGCGCGTGTCCACCGCGGTCTCCCTGTCTTGCGTCTTCACTCCGACCGTGGTGGCGAGTTTGCCTCAGGTGTCCTTGGTCGCTTTTGTCGTGCGGAGGGCATCACCCAGACGTTCACCCTACCAGACTCCCCACAGCAGAATGGGGTCGCTGAGCGACGCATCCGTTTGGTCATGGAGGTGGCTCGCACCTCCATGATCCATGCTGGTGCACCCCATTTCCTGTGGCCGTTCGCTATGCGCTACGCTTCTCACCAGCTTAACTTGTGGCCGCACCCCCAGCAGCCGCAAATTTCGCCGACCCTTCTTTGGACTGGGTCTCCTGGTGACGCGTCTGCGTTCCACGTCTGGGGCTGCCTTGCTCACGTCCGTGCCTCCGGCACGGACAAGCTCACTGCCCGCACCCTTCCCTGCGTCTTCCTCGGTTTTCCCCTTGACGCGTCCGACTGGCACTTTTACCACCCGTCGTCTCACCGCTTATTTCACTCTCGCGACGTCACCTTTGACGAGTCCGTTTCTTACTACCGTCGCTTCCCCCACCGCAGTCCCCCGGTTACCCCCCCCCTGTTCCTGGTCACTCCTTCCCCGGTAGTCCCTGCCCCTCCCCCTCCTCCTCCCCATCCTGCCCCCTCTGGTGTGTCCCACGTCACCCCCCTTCCGTCGGTGGACCCGGTTGAGGAGTCTTCTGACTCTGGTGGTCCTGCTGCGCAGTCCTCGCCGGCCGCCCCTCCACCGGCGTCCCCTCCCTAGTCCCCTCCTCCCCCGCTTCTGCCACCGCTGCAGCCGTCGGTGTCGCTGCCGCCGCCGCCGCCGCCGTCGCAGCACCAGTTCGCTGACTCTGGGGGTGCTAGTACTGGTAGCCGTGGGGGTGGTTCCTCTGGGGGTGCTGGTGTGGAGTGTGCCGGTGGTAGCCGAGGAGCAGCTTGCAGTCCCGGTGTCGCCGTTGTGCCGCCGGAGCAGCAGTCCCCGCCGGTGTCCGCCCTTGGCCTGCTCGGCCTTCCGTCCCCTGACCCTGCGGCTGTTCCTCTCCGACCGTCTCCTCCTCTTCCCGTCTACGGCCCTGTGTTCCCTCCGCCGGACTCGTCCCCGGCCCGTCTTCCCCCTCGTTCCCCTCCTGTGTCCCCTCCCCTGTCTCCTAACCCGACTCCTCCGTCGCACGTCTGGTCTCACCGTCCCTCTCGTGCTCGTCCTGCCTCGCCGGTCTTGCGCTCCCACCCTATGTTGCTTCGTTCCCACGCGTCTCGTCCTCCCCTTCTGCCGTCGCCTCCTCCGTCCTCCCTTGTTGTTGCACCCCCCCCGCTGTCTGACTACCTTCGTGCCGCTCGTCCTCTTGTTCCCCGGGTCCTTGCCTCTCTCGTTACCGACCCGTCTGTTCCGGTCTCGTGCCTTGACGCTCTTGTAGCTGCGGTCGCTGACTTCGCCTCTACCCGCCGCCTTGACTACGCCACCGCTCTTCTCTCTGACCCTGCCTGTCCTCCGTCTGTCGGGGGTGCTCCTGCCCTTGGCAGTGACGTCCTGGAGGACCGCCAGTTCGAGCTTGCTTTCCTCTCCGAGGCTGCTCCCCATCTCTGTTCCATGCTACTAGTCCCTGAGGGTGACCCAGACGCTTTCGACATCCCGACCCCTCGCACTTACGCTGAGGCGACCTCGGGACCTTGAGCCTCTCAGTGGATAGCTGCCATGGAGCAGGAGATGGCATCTTGGAGATCCACCGGCACCTTCGTCGACGCAGTTCCCCCGCCTGGGGTGAACGTAGTCGATGGCCGCTGGCTCTTCAAGGTGAAGCGCCCTCCTGGAGAGCCGCCTTTGTTTAAGGCGCGCTACGTGGCTAGATGCTTCAGTCAGCGTGAGGGGGTGGACTTCTTCCAGACCTTCGTTCCGACCCTGAAGATGACTACTCTTCGGGTTCTGCTACACCTAGCTGCTCAGCGTGACTACGAGCTTCACTCCCTCGACTTCTCCACTGCCTTCCTTCAGGGCAGCCTACACGAGCAGGTCTACTTGCGTCGCCCTCAGGGCTTTACTGGCACCTTCCCTCCTGGGACCTAGTGGCTCCTGCGGCGCCCCGTCTACGGCCTGCGCCAGGCTCCCCGTGAGTGGCACGACACTCTTCGTACTACGCTTGCTGACCTGCAGTTCTTTCCGTCTTCTGTAGACCCCTCACTCTTCGTTCGTGCTGGCCAGACTCCGTTCTACATCCTTGTTTACGTCGACGACCTGGTCTTTGCCACAGCAGACAGGGACGCACTGGCCTCCGTGAAGGCAGAGCTGCTGAAGAGACACACGTGCACTGACCTTGGAGAACTGCGCCGCTACCTTGGCTTGCAGATCTCCAGGGACAGAGCAGCGCGCACCATCACCCTGACTCAATCACACTTGGTGCGCCAGGTCCTACAGAGGTTCAGCCTTCACTTCTCCTCTGCACAGCCCACCCCTCTGCCTGTAGACCACAGACTCTCCGCTCCAGTGTCTGAGGAGTCGGTTGAGCCCAGCGGCCCCTACGCAGAGCTGGTGAGCTGGTTGCCTCATGTACCTGATGACTTGCACTCGCCCAGATCTCGCATACCCTCTCAGCATCCTGGCTCGCTTTGTGGCCACAGGCAAACACCGACCGCAGCACTGGTCTGCCGCTAAGAGGGTTTTGCGTTATCTTGCGAGTACATCGGGCATGGGGTTAGTGCTAGGAGGACGCAGGCCAGTGGTCCTTACTGGACACACCGACGCTTCGTGGGCAGACGACGCCGAGACACTGAGGTCTACCCAGGGCTACTGCTTCAGCCTTGGCTCAGGTGCCGTCTCGTGGAGAGCTACCCGCTCCTCGTCTGTTGCGCAGTCCAGCTGTGAGGCCGAGATCTACGCTGGTGCCATGGCAGCACAGGAGCTCCGCTGGCAGACCTTCTTGCTCACTGACTTAGGTGAGCGGCCTAGCTCTGCCCCGGTCCTGTTCGCTGACAACAGGGCCATGATCCTCCTGTGTCATGAGCCTCGACTCGAGGGCAGAGCGAAGCATATTCAGCTGCGATACTTCCTCCTGCGCGAGCTACAGCAGCGACGCCAGGCTCGCGTAGCACACTTGGCCTCGCGTGCCAACACAGCTGATATCTTTACGAAGGCGCTTGCGCCTAAAGATCATCAGCGGCACTACGTACAGCTTGGTCTAGTCCCTGTAGCCTCTCACTTGCTAGGGCCTTGACTTTGTACTGCCCTTTATATGTATACTCAGACTGGACTTGTGTCCTCTCCCAGTAGCTGGACTAGTAGTGCTGCCCTGGTCTTGTTCTTGCCTTGTCTGTACTCCTTCTGACTGGTCTTTTAGACCCTTGTCTCAGAGGTTGGACTAGTAGTGCCGCCCTGAGCTGCTTGTTCAGGACATTCCCCTATGCAGTCTAGGGGGTGTGTCAAACATGTATATTTGTTATGTTTGCATAGATTGTATAGGGTCCCCTCTTAGAGGGTACAATACTTAGGTATATCTATCTGTACTCTCCCACTAGTTATCAATCACTTCTCTCAACTCAATACTGTCCCCTCTTTAGTCGGATTCAGTAAGTAGCACAATTACCAAGCCTATACAAAGATATATTTAAATATATACTTCGACATTTTTTTTGGCTCAGGTCTTCAGGAAACTGACGGCTGTTTGACTGGAAACTTACGTCTATAGAACAAATTTAGCGTCAAACGAGCTTCACGACAATCAATTTGTGATTCTCCCACCAATAAACGACTCCCAATGACATTTAGTCACAACTCATTTTCGTTTTTTCTTTCGGTTTTGCACAACCGTCAGAATCACGAGACCCGCAGTTGGGTCTGTAAACCCTGCAGATCCTTCGGGCGTGGGTCAGCCTCGGGTCGGACTCGAAGCACAGAATATGCTCTGACTTGAGCGTTAGACTAAATAAAACCTAGTATAGTGCTGATGCTACAATGATATGTCGAGTATATAACTTCAGGAATGTAATATTCACATGATTCTGACACTCCAAGCCTTCATTGGTACCTATGTTTACAGAATTCCTTTATAAAAACCACCATGTTCCGTGAAATGGTCAATTCTATAGTAAGGTTCATTTGATATTGTTTTACAGGGTATGCTACTGCTTTTTGAAGGATTGTGCAGCATCGCTCTGATCCGCTCGCTGTAAGCGTGCTTGGTGGCTGCCACTGGCACCTTTGCAAAGCCTTGTAGCGTTGCCAGGACAGCTCACTTCTGGAGACAAGAAATGCAAGAATCAAGTCAAGTAGACCAGAGATTTCACCAGAGACGACGGACACTTATGCCTCGACCTTGTCTATTTACTGTTTCCCGTCAAGCAGTTTGACTGGCACGTCTCGTTCACCCCACTCCTCCAGGTGGCAGCAACACTCCACGTCACAAGCACGTACAGAAGGACAGAGCAAAAGTTTCCGAGGCACGTCTCTGTCTTGTAATATCGTTTGGAGGCCTGACCGTCTGGCCGCATTTTCTTTCCGTCCGTTTGGATTTCTGCCCCAATTCATTTATTTCGACCCGTACGTTGACGGAGGCTCTCAAACATTTCAAGCTCGCAACGGAACCCTTGCTTATTGTGGGCACCTGTGTCGGTTTTTTCTGACCGGAGCACCCTCACTAGGCTATTTTGTATGGTTTTATTCTGTACGGGCCTGCGCGCATACCCTTCCCAACTTTTCTTCCAAGCTGCAACAGTTCCTTCCCTGTCAGTCAGGGCGTCGCGTCTTCGGCATCGCCCCGCCGTGGCCGGACACACCAAAGCTTCCCTCCCCTCCCTCCCCCCACGGTTTTCTCTACCCCCCCTGTCGTTCTCGCAGCCTGCTCTGTCTCGGTCTCAACAGAGGGCGAAATCAGTTGACGTCTGCACTGCATGCGTATGTTGAACGTTGAACGGTGCGCAGGGATTTTCGAGAATTCAGATGTTGCGAGGGAGGCGCTCAAGAGTCAAGACTCTCTGTCATGTGATCTTCCCCGAATTTTTCACTTCGGACGGTAGCGAATGCTGATTGCTGAGTCTCTTGTTCCAGGGAATCTGAAAGCTGGGACGCACACCACTCACGCCAGGCAGGGATTTTTCCCAACCCTAGTCCTACTGTACAGTTTTTTTTCTTGTTACAGTCCCAACTGACTGACTCGTCGCGATTAAACCCTCTATTGGTCCCCGTTTAGTCCTCTCCCCGCTTGTTCGCATCCGCTGGCCGAATCACGCCAACCGCGTAATCATTCGTCTGATGAGTTTTTACTTGTGAAGTGTTTTTTTTCTCGACTTATTGTCAGTCGCCTTCGAGTCCGCATGGCTCAACAACCGACGCTAATCTCGCCGCCCCTGGCGTCCCGACCCGGCGGCCATATTCACTACCTCTACGGCATGCACCCTCCTAGTCCTGCTCCCGACGCCTTCGCTCTCGCACGAGGCATCAGCGGCTCTGATATACCTAGTCTCGATGACGACGGGACAGCCGTCGATTCTGTCACGTCCAGTGGCAGCGGTGGCGGCGCCGCTCCCGCTGGCTACTACTCCCCGAGCCTGGCTTCGTCCGCCTCGGGGGAGAAGGTCGGCGGCGATCGACTGCCACGTCAGACGCACAGCACCGGCAGCCTTGCGGCGGCGAATCGGGCGAAGAAATCCGTGTCGGGCTCGCGCGCAGAGTCCTTCCAGGCGTCCAATCCGTCCACGCCCGAGGTTCTTATAGCGAATCGCTCGCGAGGGCCGTCGCCATCGATACGGCGCGCGGAGGCAACGGCAGCCGCTCTCCGCAGCGGCGATGCCGAGCTGACGGGGCTCGACTCAGGGCAGCTGCTTCCGCTGCCGCCGCCGCCGCTTCCGCAGCAGGAGGTGCAAGTCAAGGAGCAGCAGCAGCAACAGCCGCAGCAGCAGCAGAAGCCGCAGCAGAGAGCGCGAAGGGCGGCTCCGAAAAGTCGCGTCGCGTACTCCGAGCCACTCGTGGCGCCTCAATCCCGCGTCGCTTCAGAAAAGGACGCGCTTAAGGGCTCGTCGCCTGCGGCGCATGCCACTTTCGACGCCGCATGTGGCGGCAGCAGAAGGGGCTATAGCACCGGCCACCGTACTCCTTCCCCCCTTCCCAATCCCGTTTCCGCTTCGTCCTCCGCCTCTGCCGCAATCCCGCCCTCCCCGTCTTCTGTTCCCCAGATTACGCCCGCACCCGAGCCCTCGCCGTCCCCCCTGGCGCTGCAGTTCGTGCGCCAGTCGCGCGCCATGATGCTTCTCTTGGACCGCCAGTCCGCGGAAGTGCTCGCCGCCAGTCGCGCAGCGCTGGCGGCGCTAGGACAGGCGGAGGACGGGGAGAGCGCTCAGGGTCAGGCGCAAGGCGCGGGCGTGAGCGCGGGCGCGGACGCGGGCGGGCGGAAGATGTTATTTGATTTGACGGGCGATGTGAGCGCGGAGCAGTGGCAGCGCGTCGTGCGCGACGCGGTGGCCTCTGGCGGAGGCGCGGCGGTGCTGCGGTTCAACGTGCGCGACTCGGGGACGGGCGGGCACCTGGAGGGGCGGCAGGTGGACCTCATGCTGCAGCCGTGCCAGTTCGCGCTCGACGCGCGCTCGCTCGTCGGCACCTTCGCCATCGTCAACCGCCCCTCTCCGCTCCACACCACAACCACCACAGGCGGCGATAGCATTGCTGACGTGGACGAACGCCCTGCGACTGCTCGCAGCAGCAGCAGCAGCACGAGCACGAGCGAGTCGCCAGGGAATAAAGGCGGCTCGCGTCGCTTTATGCACAAGCTCGCGTCGCTCTTCGGATTTCTCGACGAACCCTCCCCGCGCCAGCCGCTCTTCTCCGCCGATCCGCTCACCCCCAGCCCGCACTCCTGCGCCACCGCGGGCGCCACCGTCCCCACTCCGCGAGGGGCTTTTTCCCCCGCTGCTCCCCCCCGCGCGTCTCCGACCCCCACATCCGCCGCTGGCGCGGCATTCCCCGCGCCAGGGTCCGCCGTCCCGCCAATGTCCATCCTGCGCAAAGTCTCCACCTTTCACGCCCTTAGCCGCGCGCCCACCTCCCCCTCGGCCGCCTCACTCGACGCAGCAGCGGCCAGCGGCGGCGGCGACTGTGCAGAAGGAGCAGGAAGCGGCAGGAGGGCGCTTCCGGACGGACTTCCCCCTGGGGGCAGCGGGCGGATGTCCGGCGCGCGGCGGTTGCTGCGCGGGCACGGAAAGAGCGGGTCCGCGCAGGAGCGGCGCACGACGACGTCCGGTCCGCTGCTCACGGCCGCGGCGACGCTGTCGCCGGTGCGAGGGGGAAGCGACGGCAAGGCGCGGGCGGAGTTTCTGCGCGCGCGAGGCGGAGACGTGGTGCACCTGCAGCAGCGCTGGGGCAGCGGATTGGACTCCCCTGGCGCCGCTGCTGGCGGATTAACGGCGGCGGGGAGGATCAGCGGAGGGGGCGCCGCCATCATCAGCGGCGGCGGCGGCGGCAGCAGCAGGGTGGCCGGGAGCAACAGCATGGGCCGCAGCAGCAGCAGCAGCAGCGGCGGCGGCGGCGGCGGCGGGACCCTGATACCTGGCTCGGCGCTGGGGTCGAGCTCCGCCGTTCCCGCTTACGCGGTGAACAGGCGCGCGTTCTCCACGAACGCGCAAGGGCTGAGAGCGGCGGCTACCAGGAAGATGCAGCGGCAGCAGATGCGACGAGGAGACGGGGCGGGCGGGGATGGCATCGGCGCGCTTGCTTCTCACGCGAAAGGGTATGACGCTGCTGCCGACCTGCCCACGCCTCCGCCTGCTGCTCGCTCTCTCACGCCTGCCTCACCCGCCGCCGCCGCCGCCGCTGTCGCTTCGGCTGCTGCGGGCGGCGCGGTGAGCGCGAGCGCGCACCCGCTGCTGGCGGGATCGTCCGGGTCGGGGAGGCGGAACGACCTGTGGGTGATCATCCCGTCGCCCAAGGGCGACCGCGAGGTGAAGGCCCTCGGCCGCGGGGGCGGGGCTGGCGGCAGCGGTGGTGCGGGCACTGGCGGCGGCGCTGGCGGTGGTGGCGGTGGTGGAACGAGCGGCTTTTCTGGCGGGGGCATGGGGAGCAGCGATGGGGGGGGGAGAGCGACGATGGGAGCTGCAGCAGCGCCTCTGCTGCTGCTGCTTCTGCTGCTGCTGCTGCATCTGTTGTTCTAGTATCCAAGGCAGCAATAGGCAGCAGCACACCGACTCCCTCGCCACCCAGCCGTCTTTCCTCCTCCGCGTCCTCCTCCGCCGCGCACTCCCCCATGTCCGCCGCCTCTGCGGCGTCATCAGCGCCCAGTCGTCCCGGGTCAGGCAAGTCAACGGGGCTGCGGGAACGGCGCGGGCTGGCCGGCAGACTCGGCACTCTGGCGGTCAAGGGCGAGAGGCCAGACTCCCAGCAGCAGCAGCAGCAGCAGCAGCAGCAGCAGCAGCAGCAGAAGCAGCAGCAGCAGCGGCGGCGGCTGCGGCAGCAGGAGGGGGAAGCGGGGGGGAGTTGCAGCAGCACCCCAGGAGCGCGTGTAGCGTGGAGGTCGGCGTCAGACGCCACTGGTACCAGCGTCACCCCGGGGCGCCTGGCGTTCCTCAGTGTGGGCTCCAAGGCTCCCCCCCATGCGCTGGGAGGCGCATGTGGGGGACGAGGGGGAGGGGGAGGCGCAGCAGGGGGCCCTCGAGGCCCCGTGCACTCGCCTCTGGGGCGAGCCCTGTCGCCAGCGCAGTCTGTGCGCCTCTCTCCCCATCCTGTCGCCTTCACCGCTGCGGCTGCTGCTGATGCTGCTGCTGCGGCTGCTGCTGCGGCTGCTCCTGGTGCTGGGCCTGCTGGTGGCAGTTTGACCCCTGCTGGTTGGCGCAGTCTGCTGCACCGGTTCCGGGGCAAGGAGGAGGAGGAGGACGGGCTCGGCAGCACGGCCAATGGCCCCATCCCGGGCGTACCATCACACTTGCACAGCCACTCCCTCACTGCTGCCTTTGATGCTGCGGATGGCGGTGGTGCTGGGGGGCGGCTTGGTCATAGCAGGCGGTCCAGGAGCTACGGAGGGGGTCTGTTCACGCCTCGGCTGGTGCGCAAGAGCAAGAGCAGGAGCCTGTTCTTCACAGTGGGCGGGGGGGGGAGCACTGGGAGCCATGCGGGGGTGGGAGGGGAGGACGACTGGTGGGGCGACGACAACGAGAGCATGACGCTGGGGTCTCCTGCCATTCATGTCGCTGACGTTACCGCTGCTGCTGAAGCTGCTAGTGCCGATGCTGACGGTGGTAGAAAAGAGCCGGACTCGTTGCTGGGCGCCATGGGCTCGTCAGCCATTGCCGCCGACGCAGCAGCAGCAGCAGCAGCAGCAGCAGCAGCCGCGGGCACGGCGTGCTTCACGGGCGGCGACCCTCCTTCGGTCTCCTCCCCTCTCGCCCCTCTGGAATCTACTTACGGACATTCATCTGGTGCTGCTGCTGCTGCTGCTGCCACATCCAGGCCTGGCAGTGGGTTCGGTAGCAGTGTGAGCGTGGGCAGCGGCATGGGGAGCAGTGGGAGTGGCGGCAGGGGCAGGCGCATGGTGAGCAGCCGGAGCATTGGCAGCGCAGGTGGCGCGGGAGGGAACCGATTCACCAGCACCTGGAGCGTTGGCGGCTTGCTCACTGCTGCTGCGGCGGCTGGCGGTGCTGCTGGTGCTGTTGCCGATGGAGCGACTAGTCAGAACGTGACACGTGGCGACGCAGGGCATGGGGACGCGGGTTTGGTTGCGACCGACGCAGCAGCAGCAGCAGCAGCAGCAGGAGGAGGAGGAGGGAGTGGCAGGAACGGCAGTAGGGCGTCGATTTCGACCTCTACCTCGAGCTCTACATCTAGTTCTAGCTCTAGGAGCAAGCGGTGGGCAGCAGCGCTCGCCACGGTGTCGCCCCGCCCACAGCAACAGCAGCAACAGCAACAGCCACAGGACATGCGTCAAATGCCGCACCAGAAGGAGGAGGCGGAGGGGGAGGAGGAGGAGATGGTGGAGACGGAGGGTGGTGGTGCGTTAGGCTGCCGGGGCGTTGTCGCTAAGAACGACAGGATGCAGCGTGGAGGGCGATGGCCGTATGTTGCGCGGGTAGAGGAGGCGAAGGGCGGGGAGGAGGGGGAGGGCGAGCGGGAGGCGATAGAGCAGCAGCTGCGGTCGCTGGACGACGAGATGGCCGCCATGCAGCAGCAGATCCTCGCGCTGCTCATCGTGGGCGCAGAGGGTCAGGGGGAGGCGGAGGCGGAGGCGGAGGGGGAGGTGGTTTGGGCGGCGGAGGGGGATGGGGAGGCGGAGTTGTGCGGCGCAGAGTGTGCAAGAGAAGGGGCGAGAGCAAGCGGAGAAGGCGGGGCGGACGAAGTGGGAGGTGACGGTGGTGGGGGGGAAGGTGGTGGTGGTGACAGGGGGGGATGTGGGGAGGCGTGCAGAGAGGAGCAGCAGGAGGAAGTGGGGGGGCAGCAAGGGGAAGCAGTGGCACAGGCACAGGCACAGGCACAGGCACAGGCACAGGCGCAGGCGGCTCAGGTGGTGGCTAGTAATGAAGTGAAGGGAGACGGGGAAATGGGAGATGGGGAGGCAGCAGGGGAGAATGCAGGGGGAGAGGGACATGCGGATGTGGAAGGGAAGGTGACCAGTGGCCTGTTGGAGTCTCCGCGCTGCAGCCATTGCCACACGCCCAGGCACGCTTGCGTTAGGTGAGATGGGTGTGCCGGCAGTGCTGGCTAGAGTCGTGCTCTTATGCTGTATGATGCTGGGCGATGCCGAGACGTGAGAGGCAAGTGTGGGTGAATTCTATTCATTCCTCGTGCTGTACCTCGCGCCTGTGTGTGAACCGGCTCCACGCTCCCTCTTCAACACAGGCGCCAGTGGAGGAGGGAATCGACGGACACACTTGTTGGCTTGCTTTCATTTGTCTTCTTCTTTCTACCACCATCTCTCCCTCGTTTCCTCATCCTCCCCCTCATCCCTGGACTGCTCTTCCCGCTTCCCATCCTCCCCCTCATCCCTGGACTGCTCTTCCCGCTTCCCATCCTTCCCCCCACCCGTTTCCCTCCTGGTGTCTGATGGCCAGTTTCTCGCTGGACCGTGCGGGCGTGGGGTACGCAGTGGTGGCAGCAGGCAGTGGCGACATCATCACATGCAACAACGCCTTCCTCTCCCTCCTCCACCTTAACTCGCCCACCCCTCACTCCGCCACCACCACTGACACGCAAGCAGCCTTTGGTGCAAGAGCAGCAGCAGCAGCAGCGGCGGCAATGGCAGGGTGTGGTGGCTCCCTGGGTTGGAGCGTTGTGAATGCCGTTTCTGCGGAGTCAAAGGCAGAGCTCATGGTACGCCCCCCTATCCTTGCAAGAGAGTCTCTAGAATTCTTGAAAACCACAAGAATTCTCCAGGGGCGTATTCCACAACTCATGCTATGAGCCTCCTGGATGGGATGCTCTTGCGTTTGGTATTCCACCAACGTGTGTTCTTGCAAATCGCATCCTTCTCGCCAGTTACAGCAATTCACCCTCCTGCCTCCCCTCTGCTTTGACTCCCTCACAAACCCTCTCTCACCCCTTGCCAATGCTCTCTGCCTGTGCTCCTTCTCCCCTCACCACTCTCCCCAATGACCCCCCCTTCCAGGTTTGGCTAGCCGCCTCTCGCCACCCACTCCTGCCCCCCTCTCCCATCACGGTCCATCTGGAGGGGCCTTCTGCCTCTGGCCCCTGTGCCTTCCTTGCGCCACCCTGCAGCAGCGGCAGCAACAACAGCAGCAGCAGTGACACTAAACAGGGGCCTGAGGCAGCAGCAGGGGCGGTGCAGGAGCAGATTGAAGAGGAGGACGAGGACAGCAGAGGGCGCAGCTCTCATGCAGCGGCAGAGGAGGAAGGCCCCGCTGCCGCCCTGCCACCTCCCACGGCAAGGTCCCTGCAAACTCCCTTTGCGACTCACTCCCATCTCCCGGACCCCACCTCCTGCGACTTGCCTGTACGGCAGTTCTTGGCACCAGCACCTGCAGGGCCTGTGCCACAGGATAACTTATCATTGTCACCATTGTCATCAGCATCACAATCACCATCCCCATCCCCATCAGCTCTAGTGCCATCGTCACCTTCACTGCAGCTATCAGCACGATCAGCAGCAGCAGTGCACGCTCGAATCACCTTGATGCTCTCGCCCTGCCTCCTCCCCCTCCTCCCCTTGCCACCGCACACCTCCCCCGATGGCTCTCCTGCGTTCGTGGCCGTGCTGGCTATCAAAGGCTGCTGATGACGCCCATGCCCACACCTCCTTTCAGCACACTCTGGCCGCCGCCCCCCTACATGCAGGAACATCTTGGGGCTGCCCGACAGCAGCTGCGGGGGGTGGCTCTGCGTCTGGTGGTCTCTGGCTTGTTTGGTGCACCAGTCAGCTGAAGCAGCACGATGTTCTGGAACTTCTTGCCTGCCGGCGGCCATGACTCGCGCTATTCTTTCCCGTGCTATTCATTCCTGTGCTATGCTATACTAATAGGTTTTGGCATTGCTGCTGGTTTGCATTGGGAGAGTGTTATGCTTCCTCTACCTCTCGACCATTTAGTGTTTATAGTACTGCAGGATCTCTATAACGAGCTTATTCTTGGTTTCATTCGGTGAAAGGTTCTAGTTGACCCCACCCCACACTTGCACAGCGAGGGCGAGAGGAGGCAAGGGGAGTCCAGATGCGAGAGTAGGCCAGAGGCCAGAAGCCAGGGGCCGGAGGCCAGAGGCCAGAGAAGGCCAGAGGCCAGAGTAGGCGAGAGGCGAGAGGCGAGAGGCGAGAGGCGAGAGGCGAGGGGCGAGAGGCGAGGGGCGAGGGGCGAGAGGCGAGAGGCGAGAGGCGAGAGGCGAGAGGAGAGGCGAGAGGCGAGGGGCGAGAGGAGGCCAGAGGCCAGAGAAGGCCAGAGGCCAGAGGCGAGAGGAGGCCAGAGGCCAGAGGGCAGAGGTGAGAGGCCAGAGGGGAGAGGCCAGAGGCGAGAGGAGGCCAGAGGCGAGAGGCGAGAGGCGAGAGGAGGCCAGAGGCGAGAGGCGAGAGGCGAAAGGCCAGAGGCAGAGGTCAGACGCCAGAGGCGAGAGGCGAGAGGCCAGAGGCCAGAGCAAACCCGAAAGCGAAAGCAAAAGCGAAAGCGAAAGCGAAAGAGAAAGCCAAATCCAAAGCCGAAGGAAAAGCATACACGAAAGCCAAAGAGAATGCATGAGCCAATGCCAAAGCCGAAGCCAAAGGAAGCGCCAAAGCGGAAGCCAAAGCCAGAGCTAAAGCCAAAACGCAAAACAAAAGCCAAAGCTAAAGCTTTTGGCAGCTCTAAAGCCAAGTGCTGCACTCTCTCCACCTTGGTGATTTCAAACCCCTTTTAGTGGTTGTTTTTGTTAACGTAGAAACGAATGATTACTAGAGGTGGAAACCTAGAACAAATACTAGTTGGTTGTACTCACTAGAAGCATACCTCAGTCTAGCCTATAACTTCTACATAGATAATATGTATAAGTTGACACACCCCCTAGGCTAGACAAGGGGTGAAACTAAACAAGAAGCAAACAGCTCAGGGCGGCACTACTAGTCCAACCACTGAGGCAGGGGTCTGGAGACCAGTCAGCAAGAATACAACCAAAACTGAAGCAAGCCAGGGTGGCACTACTAGTCCAGCCACTGGAGGTAAGGCCACAAGGCCAGTCTGACAAGCATATATAATAGAGAGTACACAATCAGGATCCTAACAGGGGAGCAGCTACAGGAACAAGACCAAGCTGTACACAGTGCCGCTGATGATCTTTAGGCGCAAGCGCCTTAGTAAAGATATCAGCTGTGTTGGCACCTGAGGCCAAGTGAACTACGCGGGCCTGGCGGCGCTGCTGTAGCTCGCGCAGGAGGAAGTACCGCAGCTGGATATGCTTCGCTCTGCCCTCAAGCCGAGGCTCCTGACACAGGAGTATCATGGCCCTGTTGTCAGCGTACAGGACCGGGGCAGAGCTAGGCCGCTCACCTAAGTCTGTGAGCAAGAAGGTCAGCCAGCGGAGCTCCTGTGCCGCCATGGCACCAGCGTAGATCTCAGCCTCACAGCTAGACTGAGCCACAGACGACGAGCGAGTGGATCTCCAAGAGATAGCACCCGAACCAAGGCTGAAACAGTAGCCCTGCGACGACCTGAGCGTCTCAGCGTCGTCTGCCCAAGAAGCGTCTGTGTGCCCAGTAAGGACCACTGGCCTGCGTCCTCCTAGCACTAACCCCATGCCTGATGTACTAGCAAGATAACGCAAAACCCTCTTAGCGGCAGACCAGTGCTGAGGTCGGTGTCTGCCTGTAGCCACAAAGCGAGCCAGGATGCTGAGAGGGTATGCGAGATCTGGGCGAGTGCAAGTCATCAGGTACATGAGGCAACCCACCAGCTCTGCGTAGGGGCCACTGGGCTCTACTGGCTCCTCAGGAACGGGAGCAGAGAGCCCATGGTCTACGGGTAGAGGTGTGGGCTGTGCAGAGGAGAACTGAAGACCGAACCTCTGAAGGACCTGACGCACCAAGTGTGACTGGGTCAGAGTGATGGTGCGTGCTGCTCTGTCCCTAGAGATCTGCAGGCCAAGATAGCGACGCAGCTCTCCAAGGTCAGTGCAGGTGTGTCTCTTCAGCAGCTCAGCCTTCACAGAGGCCAGTGCGTCCCTGTCAGGAGTAGCGAAGACCAGGTCGTCTACGTAGACAAGGATGTAGAACGGAGTCTGGCCGGAACGCACAAACAGTGAAGGGTCAGCAGAGGACGGAAAGAACTGCAGGTCTGCTAACGTGGCACGTAGCGTGTCGTGCCACTCGCGGGGAGCCTGGCGCAGGCCGTAGACCGGGCGCCTGAGAAGCCACTGGGTCCCAGGAGGGAAGGTACCAGTGAAGCCCTGTGGTCGGCGCAGGTAGACCTGCTCGTGTAGGCTGCCCTGAAGAAAGGCAGTAGAGAAGTCGAGGGAGTGAAGCTCGTAGTCACGCTGTGCTGCTACGTGTAGCAGCGCCCGAAGAGTGGTCATCTTCGGGGTCGGGGCGAAGGTCTGGAAGAAGTCAACCCCCTCGCGCTGACTGAAACCTCTGGCCACGTAGCGCGCCTTGAAGACAGGCGGCTCTCCAGGGGGGCGCTTCACCTTGAAGAGCCACCGACCATCGACTACGTTCACCCCAGGCGGGGGAACTGCGTCGACGTAAGTGCCGGTGGATCTCCAAGATGCCATCTCCTGCTCCATGGCAGCTATCCACTGAGAGGCCCAAGGTCCCGAGGTGGCCTCAGCGTAGGTGCGAGGGGTCGGGATGTCGAAGGCGTCCGGGTCACCCTCAGGGACTAACAGCATGGAGCAGAGATGGGGAGCAGCCTCGGAAAGGAAAGCCAGCTCGTACTGCCTGTCCTCTAGGACGTCACTGCCAAGGGCAGGAGCACCCCCGACGGACAGAGGACGGGCAGGGTCAGAGACCAGAGCGGTAGCGTAGTCAAGGCGGCGGGTAGAGGCGAAGTCAGCGACAGCAGCGACAAGCGCGTCAAGGCGCGAGACAGGAACAGCAGGGTCGGTAACAAGAGAGGCAAGGACCCGAGGGACAAGGGGACGAGCAGCACGGAGGTAGTCAGAGAACGGAGGAGGTGCAACAGCAAGGGACGAGGGAGGAGGGGACGGGAGGAGGGGAGGACGAGACGAGTGGGAACGGAGCAACATAGGGTGGGTGGGCAGGACAGGAGAGACGGGACGAGCACGGGAGGGACGGCGAGCCCAAACGTGAGACGGAGGGGTAGGGTCAGGGGACAGCGGAGGAGACACAGGAGGGGAACGAGGAGGAAGACGGGCCGGAGACGAGTCTGGCGGCGGGAACGCAGGACCGTAGACAGGAAGGTCAGGAGGCGGTGGGGGAGACACCGGCGCGCGGTCCGGGGAGGGAAGGCCGAGCAGGCGGAGAGCGGAAACCGGCGGCGACGGCTGCTGCGGCGGCAACGACGGCTGGGCCGGAACTCTCGGACCAGCAGAGGCAGAACGACCGTCGGCAGAACACTCAACAGCAGCACCCCCAGAACCAACACCCCCAGAGAGAGAACCCCCTCCAACACCAGCGGCACCCCCAGAAGCCGCAGGACGAACAACCTCCTCCACACCAGCACCCCCAGGGGCCGAGAGCAGCGGCGGCAGTGGCGGCAACGGCTGCGGCGGCGGCGACAGCGGCGACGGCTGCGGCAGCGACAGCGGCGGCGGCAGCGACGACAGCGGCGACGGCTGCGGCGGCGACGGCTGCGGCGGCGACGGCGACGGCGGCGGCAGCGGGGTCGGCGACTGCGACAGTGGGGGCGGAGGCACCGGGGAAGGGGGACGCTGCAAGGACGGACCGGGGGTACCACCAGAGTCAGCAGACTCCTCAACGGGGACAACCGACGGGAGGGGAGTGACGTGGGAGACACCAGACGGGGCAGGACGAGGCGGGAGAGGGGCAGGGGCTACCGGGGGAGAGGGAGCAAGGAAAAGGGGGGGGGCAACTGGGAGACCTCGGTGAGGGAAGCGGCGGTAGAAGGAGACGGACTCGTCAAAGGTGACGTCACGAGAGTGGAGGAAGCGGTGAGACGGCGGGTGGTAGAAAAGCCAGTCAGACGAGTCCAGGGGGAAACCGAGGAAGACACAGGGGACAGTGCGGGCAGTGAGCTTGTCCGTGCCAGAGGCACGAACGTGAGCAAGGCAGCCCCAGACGTGGAACGCAGACGCGTCACCGGGGGACCCGGTCCAAAGGAGGGTCGGCGAAACCTGCGGCCGCTGGGAGCGTGGCCACAGGTTAAGCTGGTGAGCCGCGTAGCGAACAGCGAACGGCCACAGAAAATGGGGGGCATCGGCATGGATCATGGAGGTACGGGCGACCTCCATGACCAAGCCGATGCGGCGCTCAGCAACCCCATTCTGCTGTGGCGAGTCCGGCAACGTGTACGACTGGGTGATGCCCTCCGCACGACAGAACTGTCCAAGCCGACCAGAGGCGAACTCGCCGCCACGGTCGGAGTGGAGACACAACACGGGGAGACCGCGGTGGAGACGCGCAGCCACAACCCACGGGAGAAGAACGTCGGGCACGTCGGCCTTCCGCTCCAGGGGAAACACCGTGGTGTAGCGCGTGTAGTCGTCGACGAGCACAAGGAAGTAGCGCTCACCGCGCGGTCCGGGGACGGGGGCAGGGCCCCAAACGTCCAAGTGCAGGGTCTGAAGGGGGGCAGTAGCAGGACGCAGCGAGGAGGAGTGAGGAGCACGGCGGAGCCGACCCTCGACGCAAGGCGTGCACGGTGGCGCAGTCGAGGGAGGAAGGGCAGGGAGCGACGCGGGGAGACCTAAGACAAGACCGTGCTGGGACATGTGACGCAGACGCGGGAGAGCAGGGTGACCTAAGCGGTGGTGCCAGAGAAGGGAGGGGTGAGTGAGGGACCGACACGAGCAAGCTGCAGCGACCTGGGAGGACGCACCAACCGGGGGGGAAGCGGTGTGTAGGGTAAACAGACCGGACACCGGGTCCCGGGGGAACGTCGCAAGGGGGGAACCTGAGACAGCCTCAGAACAGACAGCGAACCGCTCGTGCCCGGGGAACGTGGTGGTGACGCCGAGGTCCTGGAGACAGCCGACACCAA